GCCTGGTGTCAAGCGGGGCTGGACTAACAATCAATGATGGTGCTGCTTTGATGGAGACGCTTTTCTATCCCCATTGAGCCCCTCAGCAGCAGCCTTGATAGGAGGAGAAAAGGTAGAGGGATAAATTCCCTTGCCCGGCACAAAACACAGTCTTAGGGTCCGTGCAGCAGCCAGGTGCAGATAGAGACCAGGTCTCTGCCCTTTCTTTGCCTCAGCTGGGTCTCCTCCAGAAGCTCCATGACCATCTTAGTATGGTGTTGTCAACAAGCTGCTGTGAGTCGAGGTACAGTTTAGCCCCTGGTTACCTTGGAGACAGTGGGACACAGCTCATCCGACCTTTGCAGTGTCCCTCTTGGGAGATGGAGAGCTCCTGTCCTGTACTATTAATTCTGCTACGCCTTTTGCCACTATCAAATCTGGGTTTTTGCAGCTGTATGGTCGCCAGCCAGGCTGTTGCACTAATGTTGCTTTTCCCCTTTGTATCCCATATGCAGAGAAGCAGAGGGAGCTGGCTCGGAAGGGCTCCCTGAAGAACGGCAACATGGGAAGCCCAGTTAATCAGCAGCCCAAGAAGAACAACGTGATGGCACGAACAAGGTAAAGGACTGGAAAAGCAGTCAGCTGTGCTCTAAGCTGCAATCCCTGATGGCCTTAGGATGGGCAAGGACAATGTTCATTGCCATTCGCCTACTGCCAAACATGCTGAGAGAGCAGTGATGGTCCTTCCCGGAGCTGGCAGGCCCAAATGCCCTGTGCTGTGTTGCATCCCATCCCCTGGGGAGATGGAGGGACAGCTGAGTCCAGGACCAGTGACAGTGCAGCCTGCAGGAGACAGAGGCAGCCCAGCCTGCTCAAAATGAGGGATTCAGTATGCTACAAACCACTGCAAACAAAGACGCTCCTAGCTGAATACTTTCTTTCAGAGTATTTCTACTTTCTACTTTTTCCATGCAAGCTTCAGTACACCAATGTATTACTTACCTGTGCTCAAGAGGTAGGAACCCCCTGACCCCACGGGACTGCACGTTTTGCATGCTGCTAGAGAGGTGGCATTTTTAGTGGAGAACCTCTCTTACAATAACAGAAGAATCTGTGCGAATGCAGGATGTTTACTGATGGATGGGAAAGCTGCATGGATTACCATACATTAAGTAGAACAGGAGCTGCAGGTCAGAGCCTCTATGTATGCAGCACATCCAACAGATGAGGTTCCTTGTTCACATTAATTCCCCAAACCCAAAACAGTAGTCATAAATCATGCCAGGACTTTGTAAAGTTCTATTTATAAGACCCTGCAATGTTGATGGAATACACTGCATTGCTCCCTGCTCTGTGTTTGGTTGTCAAGACCACGTAAAGGACCAAGGCCCTTCACGGCGGCAAGAAATTCAGCAAATGCACTCATCTGGGTTTTTCATGTACACTGTTTCTCCTTGTCTTCCAAATACAAGTTGGAAAGACTTGATTTCTTTTGGCAATAAGCTGCATGCTAGCTTCCTGAGAGAAATGGTAGCAGATTTGCTGCTTGAGGGATTTAGAAACACTGAAATTAGCAGAGGAAGATGGTAAGGGAGAGAAGATGGGATAAGTACAGGTGTCTACCTGTAAAATTAGTGACTTCTGCTGGGAGAGGTTGTTTTTTCCAGCTGCAGATGGAAAGAAGAGTGATTTGAGTGGGGAAGAGAAGAGCACTGACACATATTGACAAAAGCTTCCGAACAGTGAGCTCAGTTTTATTCCATTCGTGGTCATCTGAGCACTGTTCAGAGGACATGTGGACCCCACCACAGCCAACATAACTGCTGTCAGTAGACTTGCTTTTCTTAGTTACTTTTCACACAGCCTTTAGAAGCATCCCTTGGGATCCGCACAACAGAGGTTTGCAGCCATTGCTTTAGTAGCAGGTGTAGCCAAGCTCTGTTGTTCCCATACGGCTGTGTCTGGCACAGGGTCTCACTGGCCCAAGCCCCTTCAAGCTTTAGCTCCCTTGGCTTTCTGGGAACCAAGCTTCGCCACGAGCACAGCCCTAGTAATATATCAGAATGGTTCGGTCTGTCTTGCCACAGACAGGACAGCCCCAGGAAGGCAGAAATTCTGCAACCTTGTTCGAGCAGCTTCTTTTCACTGTGTAACAGTTGCAGTATAATGGGAGATACTCCAGCAGGCTACAGTGCAGAAGGTCCAGGTTATGGTTTAAGCCTAAACTTTTGGCATCCTCTGGTCTCTGCAGGAGGAGAATAAGCAAAAGCCATTTCCCCCTTTTTAACGGTTCTGCTGTTCTCATCAAATATTTTTTCCCTCATTCAGGCAAACCACATTGCCTCTCCTAGTGTCTACTCCACCTCCTCCTCCTTCCCCAAGGGTTCTGTTCTTCTGTACTATCTGTGTGAGTTTCTGACATCCAGCCTCTAGTACCAGCTTGCCTTTACCATTCGGTCTTCTCCTGGGGCAGTGGCACAGCCAGCCTTAGAGGTGAAAGAATCTGGATCCATAACACGCTCAGCCTCCCTAAGAGCAAATAAAATGTGAACAAGGTTGGGGTGATGCTGGCACACTTGCTACGAGCACAGGCAGAGCCCACAGCACCATCCACACCACTTGGCCATAGCCAGATACTGCAGCCCACTCTGAGGATAACCTAAACTCGGATTTGTGTCTTAACATGTTTCACATTAAGTGAGCAAAAACACCAAGACAAGAAGCTCGTACTGGGACAGCTGCAGATGAAAGCAGCTATGACTGCTACCTGGCTTTGTTCTAAGGACTGTGGGAAAAGAAAATACGGACCATCAGGATGCAAGGGAAAGACTTAGATCAGGGGCAGAGGCATTACCACAGTTGTTGTCTGTGGCAGAAAAATTGAAGTTCTGTGTTATTAAGAAAAAGGACATTTTTTGAGAAAAAGATGTAGTGATTTTTTTTTTTTAATCAAGTAAATAGCATCACAGAGGGTTCTCCTAGATCCTCTGCTAGTGTTTTGTTTACTCAAAATATAGTAACAACTGTCAGTGAGTATGTACAGAGCAGTGACTGGAGAGCAAGCATGGAAATCAGTACCTCTGATATCTGTATGGACAAGCTACTGCTGCCAGATCACAGCTTCAGTTCCAGGCATCTTTGCTTCTTGACTTCCTTCCTACATGCTTTAGAAGCAAAAGGACCATCCCAGTGCTATGGGAAAGGGTATTGAATTTTGCAAGTGGATCACATTTTCTTCAGTCCCCTGGTGCAGCAGGTTGGAAATTCTGCATCAGTTTTAAAATTAATTTCTTTATTCTTGTGTTTCAGTGGACACAATAAGAAAATACAATTAGTTGTGAACCTAAATATCTGCTATGTGATAACATTTATATATTTTATTCTACTTGAGCGAACTTCCCGTCTTCAGTGCCTGGCAGGCCTTTGTATTGCTAAAATGGTCATGGCTTCCTGAAATTTTCTGAGCAGAAGCAGGAAAATATTTCAGGCCATTAGAAAGCAGTTGGAGCATGGATGAGATGGATTATCATCCTTAGATATATACTTCCCAAGCTCTTAGTGAAGCATCATTGTGCATCATTGTGTGTTGTTGAAGACCAGTTCTTCATTTGGGAGAAAACCTGAGTGAGGAGATTTTCATCACTCTTATAATACCCATCTGCTGAACATAGAATCTTACTCCATTTGCTCAGTTTGGTTGATCTTATTTTAAATCCGAACTCAAGTCTTTGTGCAGTTTTGTGGATGAAAGAACTCTGTTGTGAACTAGATACCGTTGTATTAATGCGTCTTCCTCATCCGAGACGCTCTGATGCCCATATTGCATTTCGCAAACTCTCTCAGGCAATTAGAGGCGCAAAGTCATCATCAGCCTTTGTAACACTTCTGATGAAGTGGAAGTCATTATAAAATAATGGGATTTAAAAAGCGCCAGTCTGACGGGGCTCTTACACTGCACCCACCAGCTCATACTTCTTATATTACTAAATTTAGGACTGAGACATCAGAAGTGTTATGTTGAGGTGGGCTGGGTGGGGACTCAGGCAGAAGGACTGCATACCTGATTTCCGATAGTAGAATAGTAGGAGCACTGAGCCTCTGCCTTCCCCTAGCCTCCTTCTCCTGTTTACTTATTGCTAGTGTCATGTATGCGTTGTTAGGGAAAAAGAAATAACACAAAAATGAGCAGTCTGACGTGGCAAGCAGTGCTAGCCGAACGGGTTCACCAGAATGAAATGCGGAGTGTCCCAACCGTTTTTTCTTCCAGGGAGGAGCGTGTTCCCAAGTGTTCATCCCTGTGAAACTGCTCTAAGCTCCCCAGAGACACAGCTTGCTTCCTCTGAATTGCAGTCATTTAAATGTCTTCACCGATAAGGGAGGACTTGCAAGGAAGTGAAACGGGGAAAGCTTGGCTACCGTATAGCTTTGCCCTAGCCTGTGTGTGGTACTGAGCTTTGCCGTGTGGTTAACGAACATTTAATTATTCCAGGCTCGTCGTTCCGAATAAGGGCTATTCGTCATTAGACCAGAGTCCAGATGAAAAGCCACTGGTAGCCCTGGATACGGACAGGTATGCAAAATGTTAATAAGATATACATTACAGTGCAAGCAAGTTTTC